CATGGTGGCAAACTGCTTTGCCCACACAAGAGCCCTTTTTAGATCCTTAGGATTCGAGCGGGGACACTTTTCGACAGCGGGGTAGACCTCATCATAAACCCTGGGAAGGTAGGCGTGTTTCCGCTGCTTGCCTTCCGGTTCGATGCCAATCATTTCTACAGTGCTGCCGAAGCTCACCTTAGGGAGTTCTTGCATGTAGAAGATCGTCTTACCTACCCACGTGCTGCCGGGTCCTTTGCTTGGGGTCTTTCTCCAATTGTAGATCTTGCTTCCAACAAACGGAGAGACCGGCAAAACCTGCTCGAGCTTGGCTTGGCTCCTAAGCTTCTTGAGGTTCACAGGACATGAATTGTCTGGAACATACCAATCTGTTCGGTACTTCTTGTGATGGCGGATGATTTTGTTGCCGGTGAAGTCTACCTCCCAGTAGTCCTCATCATGTGACGCTGCCATAGCAAGCTTTGGCGAGATCTTAAGATCCGCTGTATTCTCGAATGCGATGGCGCATGCGGCCGTTTTCGGCGCCTTGTCACTTGACTTCGCCCTTGGACTTCTCCCTCTGCGCGGAGCTGGGGAGTTAGCCCTTGGTGACCCTGGCTTTGGGGCTGCCGGGGCGGCTTCGGACTTAGGAGCGGGAGCTGAAGGCTTCTCAATGTCCTTGTGTTGGAACCGACATTTATCACCCTTGTTGCAGGTGCCTTCTTTCCAGAACTTGCAGGTCACGTTAATCTTCTTCTTCGGTTTGTCACCTTTTGGGGACAATGATCTCTTCTTGTGAAGGAAAGGACAATTGTTGCCTCGCTTGCAAGTTCCTTTGAGGAAATCATAGCATACTCCCTTTGGGCTAGGTGTCCTAGGCTTACCGGGAGACTGGGATCTGCCTTTGCTGGGTGATCTTGGCCTTGGGCTCTGCGACCTGCCACGGCCTCCTCTTGAAGAGGGGCTGGAAGTTCGGCCAGGAGACTTCGAGGCAGGGGCACCGTACTTATCCCCGTGAGACCTTGCAATACCCTCACGGTTCTTGCGTTTGCGCTCTCTTGTCAAAAGATCCTTAAGCGACTTCACAAGAAACTTGTACGTGTGCTGTTCCGTGCCCTCTGATGCCCTGTCGTAAATCTCAAGATCATACTTAAGCCTCTTGGACTGCCTGAGTTCACGAAGAAAGATGTCTCTCAAGGTCGTTTCGTCCGGTGTGTGGCTGAGTCCAGATATGACAGATTCCCAGTTGCTAATAAACACTGCATTGTCGTCGTTGATGAGCCTTACTTTTAGCAGATCCTCCACGGAGTGCAGTGATCCAACCTCCTCGTTCGTCTTGAAGTACTGATCGAAGAGGTAGAGCACCTGCCGTCCTCGTACCGCCCTGAACTTCGCCGCTTCAACCTCTTTGAAAATGAGGATTTCCCGGGACAGTTCTCCCCTAGCGACTTTGGTGAGAGCAGCAAGAAGTTTCGTGTCTAGGGTGAGGAATTTCTCAGGGTCTCTAAGGGATTCCTGCGATGCATCTTTGTCGTAGGCCCTCATCACCCATTCGAACGCCTCATCAGGGGAATCTGACGCAGCCCTGACAGCCTCCCTTGCCGCCGTTTTCCATGAACGATACGACTCTGGACTTGGGAACTCCGGAAGGTTTATGCTCTCTGCTTCTTTCACTTTGGGTTTGCCAGCATCATCTTTGTTCTCACCCCTTAAGTTTCTCAGGCTTTGGAGAATCGCCATCTGAGTCTCTAAGAGACCTGTGTTGAAGACCTCTGATCCTGGCGCGCCGGAATCGGCCGCTGGAGGGGCCGCTGTTCCTTGCGGTGGTGCCTGGGAAGGTCCTGCTTTGGGGATTGAAGATGCTGTTGCAAACGGAATGTGCTGAGCATTCAAACCTCCGGGATTCATCGACTCATCGACTCGAACAGACATCTAGCACCTTGGGGGATGACATTCGGCATTGAGAACATGGGCGCTTGTGGAGCTTTCGGGAAGACAGAGGGGCCTGCAGGGGTACTTGGAGCAGGCATTGGCTGGCTCTTTGGAGCAGCTGGATTGACCTGATCCAAGACCTTCTCTAACGCAGTTTCCGCAGAATCCAATCTGTCCTGAAGCTCTTCGTTCTGTTCCCTACATTCACGAAGGGACGCCTCATACTCTTCATTCTGCCTGTTCCTAAACAACTCGAACTGTGCTTGGAACTGTTCAACCATGATTCCTGAGAATTCTCGATGTGCTGTCTTGCCTGTTCTTCGAGGTTTTGTGCAACGCGCGATTCCGCCAGTTGTTGATCCAATGCGTCTGTGATTCGGCTTTGTTGAAGTTCCGCGAGCTCTTGACGCAACCTTTGGTCTTCATCAAAGGCATGCGCCTGGCTCAAAGTCATTTCAGACAACAGGAGCTTTTCTCGGTTTGCCGCCTTGCACTCACTTTGCGCCAAGGCTGCTTGCAGTTCCGCTACCACTTCGAGGTGATTGCGTTCTGCTCTGTGCTCCAAATCGGCTGTTTGAATTGCGGATGCTTCTTGATAGGTCAGCATGTGTTGCCTGTGTCTAGCTTCTGCCTGAGCTTCTAGTTCCCCAACTTCCAGTCTGATTTGGTTAACGTGTACTTCGACACTGTACTGAGGTGCGAAGACGTTAAACTGCTGCACTGAGGCAGGGGCTGGGAAAACTAAGCCGGGAGCGCCTGTTCCTGCTTGGCCGCCCGTGACCGGGGGCTGGGAAGGACCAAAAGCGCTTGTAACTGTATCCATTTCTGCTGGGATAAGTTCCGGTTCGCTCATGCACTGATTGATTGTATTGTAACCAACCAGTGTGACCAGGCCGTAGGCTATACGGCTGATAACTTAAGTTGTAGGAAACCACTCCACACACGCACTGTTGTATACCCGTCCAAGCGTTGAGGTAGAACGCAGTTATACCATTGGGTACCTACTCTTGTTCCCCTCAAAGCACTTGTGCCACAATGTCACACACACAACATGATACTTCACACGTGCACAAATTACACGTTCATCAATGACCGGAATCGGTGACAGGAGCAAACACCCGATAGAATGACCTGGGGGCAGGACAAGCCATGGGACGGTTCAAAGCAAAATGAAGCGTCGAACCCCTCAAACAATTACCCCTAAATGCAGGCGACATGCGACGCGGCAAACCGGGAAATGAATGGGACATGACAAGCTAAGCCCCGGACAAATGGCCAGGCAAAGGGAGCGAGGACTGTCGAGCCTGAACCCTACAATGGTCGCGAACATAGTGACATCACCCCGGAGCCCCGAAAAGATTACGTGTGATGAAGGCGGCAGGACTCGGGTGACAGGAGCAAACACGCACTGCAATGACCTGGGGGGTCACGACAAACCATGGGACGGCACACCCCGCAGGCCCTTAACCCTAAATGCAGGCGACATGCCACACGGCAAACCGGGAAGCGAACGGGCATGGCCCCGAAGTGATGGCCAGGCAAACCCTGAGTGCTGAAGAGCGCGAGGACTCTAAAGCCTGAACCCTACAAGGGTCGCACGAACATGATCACATCATACCCGATACCCCAAAAATATTACGTGTGATGCAACGAACAAACCCTGGACGCTGTTCAACCATGAATGGATTCAGAAGAGACAGCTCGAAAAAATGAGAACAAACCATGGGACGATTCAATGCAAGATGGGGTGTCACACCCGTCAAACCCCAAACCCTGAATGAAGGCGACGTGCACACCGCAAACCCCGAAATAAACGTTGTTTGACAAACTAAGTCCGACAACCGTGAACCGAAACAGGAATGACAAATGAAGGAGGTTTGGCAGACTCCTTCAGGAGCAAGCCCCAGCTAAAACAATGGTGACTGGGGTGCCGCACAAAACCCCGAGCCGGGCTCTGAGCCCCCATGTGAACGGGGAAGATGTGAGCCCGAACTCCGCAAAAAGAACGACCCAAGTTGCCAGGACAAACCATGGGACCATTCAGTGTAAAATCTTAATTCAAAACTAGCCTTAAACCCTAAATTGAAACGACATGCCACGCCAATGTCGTGCCCAGCTCAGGAGTGTGACTTTGGAGCTGCTGCATGGGGCCGACGAACATTCACGCCAATGCTCCAATTGAACGGAAGGGAAGGTGGGAAGGAAATCAATAGTCCGAGTGGGATAAACCGCTGAAGAAGCCAAGGCCTGCTTCCACAGGAAAGGATATCCCAAGGCCCAAGGCACACCGGACGGAGGTGTCTTGCTGATCCGTTCCAGCGGGGAGACCCCACGCGGCGACAGCCAAACTACACATGATAGCTAAAGTGCAAGGCCTCCCGCCGTTCTTGAGGGTTGGTCGCATGCGAGCAAGCACGGCAAAGCGGTGACGAGATTTGTGTGTGAAGGTTCGGAAGTCCTGCAATTCGGCCAAACGGGATAGCGCACAGCGTCACACCCCCCAAACAGGGAATGGGTATGCTAAAATGATCTGCAAGCCCGAACCCTGGAAGGAATGACCGAAGTTGACAGGCCAAACCATGGGAAAATCCTACAGAAAATGAGGTGTCGCAACCCTCAACCTACAGTAACCCCTAAATCGAGGCGACGTGACACACCGCAAAACCAGAAATGAATGGCAAGTGACAGCGTAAGCCCCGAACGCTGCAGGCAGTCCCTACAAGGAATGACCGGGGCTCAGAAGGGCAAACTCTTCCCTAAACGAAGTGAAAAAAACAAACCCTACCGTGGGCTGCGGCAATCAATGGCGTGATCTGGAGGGAGAAGAGCAGCCAGACGGAAATTCCAAAAGCAGCAGTGAGCTGCTTACAAAAAGGATAGACTCGAAGAAATGAAAACCCTGAAGCCTCGGACACCAACACCTGAAAACGAATATGCCTTGAGAGCGAGTTGCAACCTCTAGACTCTACAAGCTGCGGGGTGGGACAAAAAGTGCTGCAAACGAGATTCACATGTTGTCAACCTCCGAACGCAGACAGGAACTCTCAAGCAGCTGAAGGTGCTCCTGGTTGAAATTGCAATCAAGAAACCTCCAGATGGCTTGGCTGCCAGTTCCGACAGCTGCTGCTCGAAGTCGGCACGGACACTCCGCAGCTCGTCCTTAAGGCTTTAGGGCTCTGAAGTTCCCGGCAAATGGCCTAAGGCCGGACTACAAACACTCCGGAAGCTTTCCGCGAAGGCTCATTCACCACCTGAAGCTCTTCCCGCGCTTGACGTTCAGAAACCTGCTCCGTTTGCAAGCTTTGCTGTAGCTCTTTTCCTGCGGACCGCAGTCGCCTCAGTTTTGTTGACGACAAGCAAAGCCGTCTAAACACCGTGCACATGGTGCCTTGTCAGCGACTGATGAGTTCTTCTGAGCTCGAGCAGACATTCAAAAACCATTTCGGAAGAGCCAGGAGGCAAGGTCGGAAAGACTCGCAAAGTACGGGAGAGTGTTTCGAGTCTTCAGAGATTCAAGCACGATGATGGACTGTGGGGGCAACACTCCCCGTGAAGCCGGTGAAAACCCGACGTACACACTACCTTTACTTAAACTGAGCTTATCAAGAGACTTCCTGAATACAGACAGACCATGCCTCAATTGCATGCACTGGTTTCCTTTAGCGTCGAGAACCCCGGCTTCCGATACTCTAAATGTGGCTACCGTCTGTAGACTCTTTGCTCTCAGACGTCATGAGAAACAAGGTCCCAAGCAGACCCTCGCACAGTGACCTCGTTGCGATAGCGAAAAGTTTTGGCATTGGGTGCACGCGGCCTCTTGACACAGAGATGCTAGACAACCTAAGCATTTCCTCGCTCACCAGTTTCTCTTCTGAATACCGCGGTGGCCTTCCTCAAACGCTCGGCGATTAGTTGTCTCTGAAAGAACCTGACGTAGTGCAAAACAGACGCTTGACTTCTTGGTCTTCCAGGACCGCGTGCCTGACGGCGCGAGGATCAGGCAAGTCAATCTCAAGACATCGAGTTCGGGGGCCTCTGAGCATCCGCAAGCTCTGCCTGCACTTCACCAAGCTGTGAATCCCTGCTGGACTGCAGCTCTTGAAGCTCCTGCGCAGGCTTTCCAAAAGTGAGCCCTCTTCATTGCACAGGTCGCAGCACTGTCCTGCTTGGCTTGCAATGCAGCTTCGCCTTTCCTTGGGTTGGGACGCACTGGTCATGTTGAAGTTCCACTGCACCTAGCTATCAAAATGAAACTTGGTTGTCAACTAAACCTGGCATGCCTGGCAGTTCAGCAGTCTTTTTAGGTAACAATCTGTTCCACAAACCTGAGACTGCCGTGATTACGACAATAGTATTTGGTGCCAACAAAGCATGGCAGAAAAGCAAGACCCAGTCCGTTCAGGATTCCGCCGGTTTTGCCAACCTTTAAGCCTAAGCTTTGGCCATGTGCCTTAAACAATAAATAATGACGATGAGACTTTGAGCACTTCAACGATACATTGTGAAATCATGTGCCTGTCAAGCGTCTCTTCCTGGAAGTGGTGGCGAGATTGTATCAACTGCAACTGCCCATCGTCAAGGATCTGTCGGGCCCGGCTGCGCTCGTCCTCCAAAGCCTGCCTCAAGCGAGAGCCGGGGAGCTGCGGGCTGTGCTGGGCGACCGATTTGCTCACCGGCAAACTCAAATCGAAAAATGCCCTGCCTGAAGCTTTCCTCTCACATCCAGGCTTGATCAATGGAAAGTGCCAGGAAGAGTACATCTCTGGCACAACCCTGAAGTCAAAACCATCCAATCCCGTTGGTCGTTCGCTTGCCCACCTAAGGCGTTCCACTTCCTCTCGAACTGTCTCTTGAATCTTCCCACGCTCCTGTGACCAAGTGGACACTGACGGTCAAAGCCGGTCAAGCGGATTTCAGTCTGAAGATTAACTGTCTGCACGAAGCCGTGACTTTGGCACGGACAAATCCGACATGACAGGCCCAATCCTCCGCGTGCTGCACGGAATCCTCCAAGCGCCCTTCTCGAAGTTCCAATCGTAGTGCTTGGACACGATTCTCCAGATCACCTGCCGGTCTCACTGCCGTTTCCTCTTTGCAAAGCAAGGTCGGGAAGTATGATGCCGAAAGAGCCTTTTTCAACTTCTTTCTGAATCTCAGCTTGGATTTTTGCTTCTGATGCCGCATCCAAGCGCATACGTAGATCCTGTGACATGAAAACTGGTCCGGACATGAAAAGCTCAAAACCTTTGGTCCAAACGAATGCAAGCATTTCAACCCGATCTCCTCGGCCAGAACCTCGGCATCTTGGAGTTTCTTGGCCTGCCAACCCACAGTCTCACAAGAACCGCAGCGAATAATGGGTTTTGCCCGTGTAGGCTCTCGTTGGGGAGAAAACGGTACTCACATCGAGGCTTGCCTACCACACCAACCCTCGATCCATAGTGCCGAAAGCTTTCCAAGGTCTCCCACAAGCACGATTCTGATCTGAGGGCCGATCGACAAACACATTGATTGAAAACTCGTCTTAGAGGCGGAGGGAAGACCGAAAGCGAGCAGAACACACAAGAAGACATGCAACAAAGCCTGACTATGCGAAGCCCACAGACATTCTAGGGCGATGAGCTTTCTACAAGGACGTGACCTGCTTGCCGGTGAGGTCGGCACTCGTCTTTTCAGACGATTCCTGTCGTGGGCTCGCATGCTTCTTGGAGAATGTTGGCAATTTAAGTAACCTAGCTCATGGCATCAGCTATCGAAGCCTGCTGTCTGGGGTGAAGAAAAAACGAAAGCGTGACGTTATGCATCATCTGCGCACTTAAACCCGGATCTCAAGGTTCGATTCGAGGCATGCTTGTCGGCCCGATGCACCAAGATCTTCTGTCCCATCCCGGTCTGAAACATCCAACCCTTCTCAAACACTGGTAGGTCCTTCATTTCTGCTAGCTCTTGCTCCAGCATCATCAGAAGGACGTTGTCTGTGTATTGCACCTCACCTGGGCGATGTCTCTCAGACCTCATCTAGTGCTTGTAGATTGCTTCAAATGTTGGTCCATAGGCTCAGCTCATCTTTGGCCTCGGAGGCCTCGATCTGTACCTCTACCTCCAAGCGGTGCAGGCGGAGCGGAGCTCGTCCCCCTCTTTCAAGCTTTCAACGCGGCGACTCGGGCCAGGACCAGTGATTGCATTGCCTTCAGCTGCTCTTCTTCGGAAGACATCAACCTCTCGTTCATTGACTCCTGCACCAGCTCACATCATCAGCCGAGAGTCACTGGAGCCCTGCAAATCCCGGCCGCGGTGCCCGTCCTGACTCTCCAACGCAGAAACGTAGCGGTCCTGAAAAGACATGGCAGCCAGCATCGCAACTGTCCAATGCCGTGGATGGACTGCGCTCTCCTGGAAGTTGTTTGCTCTGTCTTGGCGGGCCTAGGTGATCGCAAATCCATCGGCCTTGAAAATTTTGCGACCATGCTTTTTGCATACAAAGCTGCATCTGCCAGTCTTTGGGCTTCCTCCTTCTGCCTGCATTAACATCCCCATATGACGTTTGCATCAAGTTGACCTCACCTTTCCTCTTTCGCCAGTTCGCCTCTCAGCATTGGCAAGGCGCTTTTCCAGCTCCAAAACCAAGCTCCGAGTGTCACGATCAACGCCACCCCCTCCTCGCTCAAGTGCCTAGCGTCACACTCTCACACTTTCGCACATACCGATGATAAGTGTTCAACACAACAAATGCACCGTCCTTTGCTTCCAGAATCTTAACAAAAGTTCAATGCGTGCCAAGACTGTCAACACATGCTCGGCAATGTGCCTGCTTCAACATCAAGCGCTCTGAACGGACTGCTCTTGCCCATCCCGCAACTCGATGGTCCTGTGTTACCTCAAAGCGATGTCGTCAATCATCGTGAGACATTGCCCAACCACAGTGCAGTGGCCAAGCAGCTGGATAAGTATGTATCTTGCTGAAATCTTCCATGAATTCAAGCAGCGCTATGCCTTGCTCGGCCGTCTGCCAGATTCAACGGACGCTTCAGCTATGCTGGTTTCGTCGACACATCTGAAAACAAGCAAGACTGAGCAGGATGCTTATCGCAGGCTTTCCCTGTGCGACACAGAAGAGAAGATGAGCCTCGACACTGCCGCCTGCAGGGTGCGAGTCCAACAAGCCGATCCAGCCCAGTCGTATTCTAACCGCTTCCATTCGCTTCTCCTGTCCTGTGAGAAGGTCACGAAGAAGCCAAGTCAGGTAGGAACCGTTCACGTCTCCAGGCTCACCGCTTCTCCACGACTTGACTAAGCTGCGCATGTGGTACACCTCAGCGTCGAAAGAATACTGGAGAATGAAGTACGCTGTTCTGGTGCGAGACACAGGACTCCAGAAACTCAGCCGAAACACCCCGCGATAGCGATCGTATCCCTCGCGAAGCTGGACAAGACCTTTATCCTCGCAACGCAATGCAGATCGAGCAACGCCGCAAAGTCTCATTCACAAGTATGTCTATAGGCCCCCTCACCATGCTCCTCTGCCAAACAATCCATGACCGCTGACTCCAGAAGAACGAAGCGCCCGTGCAGTCCCCACCCTTCGTAGTAGTCTGCCTGTTCGGATTGTACTGCAAGTTACTGTAGCACAACAGAATCCGCGCTTCGACTGCGCACCTGGGTTACGTCGATGACGAAAACTGCACTCGTCTGGTGTCTCTTCTCCGGATCTCGACGCCGCTGCGCAGCTTCGACGTACTTCATGAATTCCTTTGGTGTGCCAACCCGGCAACCCACGACAAGAAGGTAAAGAAAGCTTAAAATATCCGCGTCTATTTCCGTAGCAGCATGTGTGGCCAGCGTTCAGGAATGGCAGCAGGCACTTTCCCTGGATAGAGTACTCGCCAGCCAAGCTTCATCCGCAGATGTTGCACTGGCTGTTCGCACGCCTGGATTGCATGCGATCATTCTGGCATGAAAGAACTGCGGCTCTTCTCACTGAAATTCACGGTTGCAAAACGAATCCGGAGGAAGCATCCGGCCTTCAACCATCACACCCTGCGGGAGGTCCATCAAACGCGCGGCTTCGGGAGAGTCGGTGAGGAGGTCCAGGATTGTGTCGCCAGCAAGTTGAAAAGACTGCAACCTCGCACATCGAATCTTCGCATGGCTGCTATGGCACCGACCTGAGGATGCAGCGACGAGATCCGGTGCCTCATATGGTACGTATATCCAACTGCCCCGTTTGCGCGATGACTCGCCTCGGCCCAAGAAACGAAGCAGCAGCTTTGTTTGCGCGGCTGGATGAAAAAGTCTCCTGTGGTGGTCGTGTCTGTTATGGGGGCTGGTTCTTGCACGTCTCACCCACCCCCCCCTGGCCTGGCGCTCGTGCAGCTCCGACGCCAGCTGCCACACAGCCGCTGCGGCAAGCCCTTCAGCACCGTCCATTAGGTCGGCCTCGGTGCGCACGACGGCAACGAGTCCACCTTTGCAAATCTCGCCGCCGGATGCCTGTGCACCACCGGAAACTCCAGCCACAAGCAGAACGGCGTCTGTACCTGAACTCGCAGCAATCGACTCCTATGTTCAGAAGTGCCGCTGAGCCCATGACCACTCAAAACAGCTTCCAATGTAGGTGCTAAATCGCACATGATCACGTCCTCTGCTTAACACAACCGTTCGTCTTCTGTCAACATTCCGGCTCTCAGTCCTCGTTCGTTGAGTCTGGTCCATGGACCATGTCTGCCCGGAATTCCCTCCAGAATCTGATGCTTTGCATGCGATTCTAGTTTCATCAAAAACCCCCTTGCAGCTGGAGCGGAAAGCATGATCGGATCTCCGTGCATTGACAGAACTGCCGCTGACCTGGCCCGCAAGGCTTTGGGATCTTTGACCTCCACGAGGGTTCCTACCGCCGTGACATCCGGACTGGTTTCGGAGTAGTCCTCGCGGTTTGCATATCTGAAGAGACATGGCCACATACCAAACACAACCACAGTATGACACGTCATCCTACTTGTCCTGCCATTCTTCGTCCCATACCCAAGGCGACCCAACTTTCACAGAACATCGCACCTGAACAACAACAGCAAAAGACAGACAATCTGCTCGTTGGAATGACAGTGTAGATTCCGCCGCAACTGAGATGGGCACCTTGGAAGGCTTCAACAAAGCGTCATCCATGTAGCGCACATCCCGGAACTAGAACGATTCGGTAAGAATGCAGAAAGAACACAAGATCTCAGAATCTGGTTAGGTACGCTGCCGCGGTGCAGCACTCAATGGTTTCTCAGTGAAAACAGGAATCTCACAGCATCAACCTTTCCTGCACAATCTTTTTCGGCAAAGCTCTCGAAAACTCATCAACACGAAAGGTACAAGAGCCAGGCACTGCGAATGTCCGAATATTGACAACCATTCTGAACACTTGCGTTCAGAAGTCTAATTTTATTGTTCCTTCCGTTCATCAAAACTTCAAAACATGCCTGTTCCAAAACAAACTTCGGCGCCCAAGTGCTTATTGAAAGATGTGGGACAACAACGCCTCTCATGCCCAGTGTGCACATCACGGCAAACGAACGTTTGTCAAATAAATCTTGTGCTATGAGATGTGCGGCCCAGACTGCGACATGCACATGCACAAGCGCAAGTGACCGGTAACCGAAAGGCAAAACACAAGATCCGACCATTCAAAGGCAGTGCTGTACAAAAACTTCATTCGATATTGTGCGCTTTCAACGAAAGAAAGGGGACGCCGTGGACACTTGTTTGTTCCACCGAGAATGTCTGAAAGCGATCTTTGATGAGAACCAGCATCTTCAACCCCGCAGGTCCAAAACTTGTATAAAATGCAAACAAACGTTGGATCCGGCCTTGTTTGATGTCAATAAGTGTTTTCATGTTGGCTTGGCTCCGACCGGCCGGCCCGAAATTAAAAGTTTTTTACCCAATGTTTTCACTGTTGGCCATCCAACACTGTCCAACACGACAAAAATAGTTGCTCGAACTGTTTTCAACACTGTTTGCAAGATGATAATTTCGCAATTCGCCGTCCCCACAATGCTGCGATGTGACACCGACCAAAAGCAAACAACCTCAGAACCATATAACAAGAGCACTACGCTGCGCAGAATTGAGTCAACTAACAAGGGCCGAGGCCCCCGCCCATTTTGCAAGATGAACTTTAACAAATGCGGACAATGAACTGAATTTACAACCGGAATCCTCGACAATGTTACCCATGCAATCTAAGCTGCAATTGCTGACCTTCATTTGCTTTGCTTTCCCATGGTGTTCCTCAGAGTTGAAGCCAACCCGGACTCCGGATTTAGGGGCTCCAAATCCGGAACTCGGGGTTGGGATTGGCCGAATTCGGGTGTCGGGGCTCCGTTGGGTTGAACCTGCGAACGAGTCCAGGGTTGTAAAAATGTCAATCCGAACCCCCAAACGACCCTTTGGAGCCGACGCGGAGGTAAACTCCTCCTCTCCGGCACACCCACAGAGCACATGGCAGGGGTGGGCTTTTACATTCCCGCCCACCGCCTACCACTGGTATCAGACTTCCTCCCCTTTTCGGGTCGCATAGCGGTCTTGACTCTACGCACGCAACCCGTCCCGACTCATCTAGTAACGCTATATGCGCCTAGTCAGCTATCGGACCCCCAAGCCGACGAAACCCGAAAAGATAAATTCTGGGACGACCTCCAGGAACTCCATCGCAATCTTTCACGCCCTTCCTTGATTCTCTATATGGGGGACCTCAACGCCAGAATTATCCCGACGGAATTGGAGGAATTTTCAGCACATATCGCTAAGGCAGTCTTCTTAAGCGACGCCCCTGCGGACGACACGCATACCACCAACTATTTTAAGCTGTTAGACTTTTTGGTACACAATGATTACTTGATCGCATCATCCTTTCATACGCGCCCGGCTTCCCAGATTGTCTCATATAGGGAGATCGCGTCCTCTCCAGAGGCCTCTCCTACGCAACCGGAAAACACAGATTTCTTTTGCCTTGATCATGTGCTGGGGCCTATGACGTCACTACACAACATCAAAGCCGCGGCCACCAAAACTAATTGGAAGTTACCATGGTTTCACCGCCACTTTCCCCTCTCATTTACGATCACCTTCGACAGATTCCAAAAACCCCCTAAACCACCGCCGCCTAAAATCACGCCTCCACGAACCAAAGAAGACCAACTCCAATTTAAGCGAGAATTCGCGGAAGCATTTGCGCACATAACGCAACAATCGGTCAACATTTTAGGTACTACCCCTATATCGGACGCGCCCTGCGTTTATACAGACGGTGCTTGCCCCGACCAATATAATATTCGGGTCGGCAATCCAGCCGGCTGGGGCTTCACACTCCATCAGAACAATACCTGGACGGACTCATGGGGCCCAGTGGGCCACAACCTAGAGCTCCAAGTCGTGGGCTCTAACAACACCGCCGAACTCCAGGCCCTATTAGAGGCACTGGATTATGCCGCTCAACACAAAACTCATCTTTCAATTTCTGCCCTTAACATTTACACTGACTCCCAGCTCGCTTATGATTTTCTCCATGGTCTCTCTATACCCACGAAACACCTTCAGCTCTTGACCAAACTACGTATTCTCCTGGATCACCTTCTCTCTAGTATCACCATATCGCTCATGAAAATCAAAGGACATTCGGGCCACGACGGAAACGAGCACGCAGACGTTTTTTAAATGAAAGGAGTCACCTCCTCCTCCTCCTCCTCCTCCTCAATCGGGAGACATTCCTACCCCCCCCGGCAACCCTTGAGCGACACTATCCGTATTTCCACTCCGCCACTGTTCGAGAAACTTTCGGTAGAAGAACAAGCCACAGCGCTCCAGGAAGCAGCGCTGAAGATAGCGCGTCGTACTAAACAGGAACGCCAATACCATAAGGAGTATCTCTTGGAGCCAACCAAAACGGCTTATCGATCGCATTTCCTCGACTCCCTCGGAAGACCACGAATCATTGCAAAAACTCCGAAAAGCCGTCAAACGACGTGTCCGTAAAGACAAAAAACAGCATCTGTGTGATAACCTGCTCCAAGACTCTAAAGGCCCTCCCTCAAAGCAGTGGTCCACTCTTAAATATCTGCGTAAGGACTACACACCCCGAACACAAGGGATTCGCAAACCTAATGGCCAGATGTCCACTAAAGCCGATAAACCCGACGCTTTGGCCAGCCATTTGGCCACCAAAGTCTGGAATCACAGAAGCCTTCCTGAACTCCCTCCCGACCCTATCTTCCCCCCGGCTCCCATTGATACCAGTCCTTTTACGGAGCTTGAATTATTTTAAGAGCACTAACGCGTCCCAAGAATCGCAAAGCCCCTGGCCCCGATCAACTCCCGGCGGAAATCTGGAAGTTCGCTCCTAGATCGGTGCATGTTGCGCTGCTCGCGCACTTTCACAAAACTTTCACACAGGCAATCTCGCCTAAATCCTGGAAGGTGGCGGACATAGTGATGATCTTTAAGGGTAAAAAGAAAGACCCCACTCTTCCTACTAGCTACCGCCCCATCTCTTTAATCAATACGGCTTACAAGCTATATGCTTGTCTTCTCCATGGCAGATTAAAAACGGCTATTGACGACCGTATCTCACCGGTTCAGTTCGGTTTTAAAGCCGGCAAATCCACCTCTACGCCTCTATTCGTCCTTCGCCGATTGCTTGAATTACACGAACGGCACAAGGAATCCTTTTACGCTCTGTTCCTTGATTGGTCACAAGCTTTTGACTCGGTCTCCCACTCAGCGTTGCGCAACGCGCTGCAACGAATAGGTATCCCCGACAATTTCATCAATCCGGTATTGTCCATTTACGAAGACTGCCAGTTTAAAGTGAAAGAAGCGGGATATACCTCCCGCCCGCAGGCCTTTGCCCAGGGCATCCGGCAGGGATGCCCCTTATCGCCGTATCTGTTTATCATTACCCTTTCAGTACTTTTCCATGATACCTATACAGCATACGTGGCCGAATATGGACCCTCAGTGCTCACTACTGATTTTCGTCTCACAGACAAAAAGTACGCCGACGATACAGTTTGAGAATCTCGTACGAGATTATCCCTGCACCGCTTTCTACATACATTACAAGCCCAATCTTTTTAAAGAGGCATGTCCTTGAATCACGAGAAATGCCAGCTTCTTTGTATCAACACGGATTTACCAATCTTACTGATACCACAATCCACCCCTGCCAGTGCGACTTTTGCTGCATGCGCAGCAACCCACAGCTTTCCCCAGAGCTACGGATAGACCCTAAACCCCACGCAGATTACCTAGGAACTGTCCTCACCCAAAACTCAGCCGCCAAAACGGACGCTAAAAAGCGCTATGGGCAGGCCTCACACGCGGCCAAATGCTTTACATGACTTTTTTCGGCACCCGTCCATTACTATCAAGCGAAAGCTGCTAGTTCCCAGATTGTGTTGGCCATCGTTCTGCATGGCTCAGAATCGCAGATGTACTCACAGCCTGACCTTACCAAATTGAACAAGTTGCACTACAACGTCCTTACACAGATCTTCAACATCAAAAGCTCCTTCTATCATAAAGTATTGGAACCATCGGAGGCAGAATGTTCCAACGAATACTTTTCCCAGCTTGCCTACGAATACGTCCGAAAACTTTTATCGCCATCACAGAATATTATTTCCTCCCGGATCTCTTACCTTGGACACATTCTTAGACATGAAAATTCAATAGAACATACCTCCACCTCAAACAGCACATGCCACAGACGCCTCCATAAGAAACGCCCGGGCCACCCTCGTAACACTGGGCCGAACAAACTTTGACACAAGCGCACCAACGCTATCAAATACTTTCAACGAATTCCCCCATCCCGCCCCCACCAAACATACCACGATTTTTTGGCTTGACTGGGCCTCGTCGACCACGGCTGTAGCACTCGGTCCCTACAAACAAGCGAAGCTAACACAAACTACAAACTACAAACTACAAACAAGCAAAGCGGTGAGACAGACAAGCGAAGCTCTACAAAGGGCTGCGGCGCACAGGCTTTGCCGGTGGTAGCCGTTCAGCACCAACTACGGAGCCTCAGCGACCGGTCAGGAGCAACAAAGAGCCGTCGCTCAGAGTTGCCCAAAACAACAGGTTGAGCCATACGCTTGATGTGCTCTTTGACGGAT